AGCAGTTCTCTTTCTACTTGTCTTGGAATTTCTTGATCTCCACATTGTGAATTCATATTCCGTCATAGGGATTTGGAAGGAGGGTCGCAGCACCGGGAGTGTCTAGGAAGGAGATTGCAGCAACGGTTGTGGTCAAGACAGTAACTGGAATTTTTTATCAATAGAATGCCAAATTTGAAGCCTTTAAAAAACAAGACTCCCTTGCAGTGTGAATTGCACAAGTTCCTGCTTCTGGTCCATGTAAGGGCACCATACAAAATGGCTTGGTCTCAAACTATTAAAAGTAATAAGAAAAAACAAAAGATCCTGTTACACACACAAGTTGTTGGCCAACATACATTATCAGATTCCTAAAGCGGTTGATGTGGACTTGAATTATCATTTTGTTTCAAAAGGTAATTAATTGATCATTTGAATATCACTACTGCCTTAAATATCAACCATGACTGACTGCTCAGAACTGCTGGTAAGTCAAGCATTTTCTTGAATATGACATTTCTGTCTCTCTCTCTCTCTCTCTCTCTCACACACACACACACAAAATAGATAAAATATAAAAAATATATACTGTTACTCGTTCTCCTCTAAACCCATTGGCATGGTTTTGAATGCTGCCAACACCACAGCCACCTTACATGAATTCTTGATCTCCACAATGTGGAATTTCTTGATCTCCACATTGTGAATTCTTGATCTCCACACCATCCAAAATATAAGGGCTTTTCCCATGTCAAAGAGCCCAATGCACTTGCAAGAGCTGCATGTTTGTTTCCGTCGGTGTATTTTCTAATTATTTCCTGCATGTAGGAAGCAACAATTAAGTATAATGTACATGGAAAAAAAAAAGATCACTTGAAAGGAGAAAAGGATTGCATCATACCAATTAGGTAACAAAAATGAAAGCAAGGAAAGACCATAGAGGTTACAATGAGCAGAAAAATTAAATATGATGGCTAGTAGAGTCTTTTGTACCTCTCTCAATCTCAATGTTATCTGCTTAAGTTAGACAAGCAATAGCTTACCTCACTAGAGATAGTTGACCATTGGAAGATATTCTAACTAGAACAGATCTCACTCTATAACAAAATCCTATTTAAAATATAATAAAATAAAATAAAATAAATCATATCTATCTTATATTTTGAATGGACAAGAAAAGTTCATATTACATCATGGGAAAAGCCCTTATATTCTGAATTCCAACTTTTTTTAGCAAAATGTAATCCCATACTCAAACACTGTCAATTCACTGAACTTATAACTCCAACTTCTCAATAGTCTGAAATTGGACAGTGAATATGCACTAATTAATAGTCTGAAATTGGACACTGTCAATTGGCTTTTCAGAAATTTGATTCAACAAATTTCAATTTCAGAAATTTGATTCAACAACATATAGATTACCTCAAGTTCATGCTCAATTTCAGATTTTAGATTGGACACTGTCAATTGGCTATTTTAGATTTTACCTATGTACTCCAGATTTCAGATTGAGGAGCTATTTTAGATTTCTCAATTACCTATCTAACTAAACAACCATAGTTAGATGCATATATAACTAAAAAAGATTCATTGCCAATGTCAACCAAAATTTGAAGAGTACGGGATATAATGATTAATAAACTATTTACCTCCATAAAATAGTGTCATGTTAAATTAACAAGATATTGTGTTTGCACCTTTCACTCCAAACATCAAGTAATTCACTTTTGCATAATCCATAAACCTGCCTCTGTTGCCAACACCCCTATTATCCACAAACTAAAAACAAAAAATTGCACTGCCACCATCAAACATCAACACAAATGCCGCCATCAAACATCAATTTTCAAACAGATTCACATTTAGACCTTTAGATTCCGTTTGGACATACAGGTTTTAAATGAAGGGATTTGAGGTTAAACATTACAATAATATAAGAGGGCTGTCTATTATAAATAGATTGAGAAATTAAAGGAAAAGAGAGAGTGAAGTTTAAATATTTTATTACATCTTTGTACAACTCTAATCTTTAGTGTGAAGGATTTCAAATCACAACTTTTAAATTGAGGAATATTTTCAGCTCTGAGCAATTTTCATCATTCAAGATACATATTTTCAGATTGAGGAATTTTGCCCTAATTTCAGCAAGATTACCAGATTGATAGATATAATTTAAGCAGGAATTTTGCCCTAATTTCAGATTGATATATATATATATATATACACACACCAGATTACCTCGTTGGCGTGAAGGGGAGGAGGGGAGGAGTCGTCCGTCGAATGAGATGGAAAGAGAGAGAGAGAGAGAGAGTCGACAGTCGGGTGTCGGAGAGAGAGTCGACAGTCGGGCGTCGGAGCTGAGGGAGTCGGCCTTGGGAGTTCGTCCGAGTGAAGGAGAGGAGCGGAGCTGTATTTCGCTCGGTAGATTTTGAATTCTGAAAGAGGAAGGTGCGTGAGATATGTATATCACGTGACCGATCACGTGATGGTCCAGCTCAGAGGGGGTCAAGGGGGTCGATTTTTGAGGGAGGCGGAACCATTTTTCCTTAAAATAATTAGATAGTAAAAAAACTAAAAAAAAATCAAACAAGACTGTGATTTAAAGAAATATTCAGAAGGTAACAGTGTAAATTATCCTTTTTAAAAGACTATTGATTTGATATTTTGTCAATAATTTTTCCGAAATGAGACGTGTATGTGACGTCTAAGGGCTAATTTCAGGATGTTTTGAAAAATATATTAAAAGTTAATTTTTTGATTTTTTTTAAAATATATATATAAAAAAATAAAAAAGTATATGATTTAAAAAAATTAAAAAGTCAATCTTCCCAAAATGGGCCTTAATGAGTCCTCTGAAAGTTGTCTTAAATAGGAAAAATTATTTGGTGGCCTAAAATATTGCTCTACATTATTTATTTAAATATAAGTATTTAATTATCTTTTAAAAGGAAATAAAAATAATAATAAATCCCATTAATTTCAAAAATAATAATTATGTTAGACACCATATAATGAAGCAATTTGACAACTTGATAAAAAGTCAGCTTTTGGACTTTTTATCAAATTTTTCCAAAAAAGTCACAAAAAAAAAAAAAACTACCAAAAAAGCCAACAAAAAAAATTAAAAAGCCAACTTTTTATCAATTTTTCAAAACACCCCAATATTGCCTCGTGAACAAAGAATGGTTTTCCCTTCAATAGATAATAGGAGTACACAAAGATGCGTGATGACTAAACTTTCTTAGCTCATTCTTAGAAATTGGCCCATTACCGATTATTTAAAAGACACTTGGCTTGTTTTTGGTTTTTAAAAAAAAATTTTAAAAAAAATTTATTTTCTTGTTTTTGGTATTTTTTTTTTGTTCTTATTGAATTTTTTAAGTAATTTTTTAAATTTTTAGACACACCTAACATAAATAGTATAATTTTTGTAAAAAAAATCTTTTAAAAATTCACTAAATATCAAAAATATATAAAAAAAAATATATAGGAATTCAGTATATTTTTGATATTTTTAAGTATTTTTTAAAATATTTTTCACAAATTTTTTACTTTTTAAATAAATTTAAATAAGATGCATCTAAAAAATTAAAAAATATTTAAAATTTTAAAAATATTTACTAAAAATAAAAAAATATAAAAAACAAAAAATTCAAATAGAAGTGATTGAAACCCCCTCAATCACCAACCCCTACCACCCCCACACGTGAAGATTGGTGATTAAAAAAAAACTGGCCAATCAAAGGCTTGACGAGTTGTGGAGTCACCCGTGAAAGAGGTCCGGATCATTTTTGAAATTCAAATTTTAAAAAATTTAATTTAAAAAATTCTAATCAAACACACATTGATTTGATATTTTTCCAATAACTTTTTCGGAATGAGACGTGCGTGCGACTTAACACCAACTTTAATCAGAAACTTGTCTTCAATAAGGGTGAACCTTTATTATCTCATTCTTAGAAATTAACTCATAATACCTACTTAAAAAGAGTATTGATTTGATATTTTTCTCCATAGTTTTTCCGTTTAATCGGTCACGGGAAAGTCGTCTTCATAGGGTCCACGTGCAAAGACACGTGATGATTACCGGAAAGTCATCTTACGGAGTAATACTAAACAGTTAAGATTGCGTTTGGTAGAATTTTATAATTATAATTTGATAATAGAGTTATATTTTGAATTTGTGAGTTTTGAAGTTATGATTTGAGTGTTAAAAATTTATTTGGTAATGAGTTTTAAAAAGAGTTTGAATTGAATGATGTGACATATAATATTGAAAAGTGAATGTTTTGAAAAGTGAGTATGAAATTAATTTTCTAAAGTTATAACCAAATAATACATTCAAACTAAAGGGTAGAATTAAATTTCAAAAGTTTTACCAAACGGAACCTAAATATTTTATTAATATTTTTATTAAATATTTCACATAAACATAAAATTTACATAAAATTCACTTAATGTGAGTTTTACAATTATGCGAAATATTGGATAAAAATATTTAACATTTTTCTTAATTTAATCAGCCATTGGAAAGTCGTCTTCATGGGATACTTCTGCAAAGACGCATGATGACTAAACTTTGTTTTAGAGAATTCACGATGAAATGATTAAAATTATTTATTAAAATGTGTGCAATATGAAAAAAAAAAAATGAGAATTTTTTCATGTTTGAAAATGAGACTTATTTTTATGTTTTGAAAGATTTATTAGTCTGGAGGGTCAGTGTTGGTATAATGAATATGTTAAATAATATAAATATATATATTATATATAAAAACAATAATAAAAGTGTAATTTTTTATTTTTTTTTCTCTCTTCTCTCTCTTTTCTTTATGCCAATTGTGCTGCCAACTCTGCCACATCATAGTTGGGATACAAAGTAGGGCTAAGCATAAGATTATTCAATCCGTACAATCTGTCATATCCGAACTGACCCACACACATATGAACAATTTCGCAAACACAATAAGATTGGATACGGTTTGGAATATAATATTTTTTCAGATTGCGGGTGGATTGCGAGTTTTAATCACACCCGTCACAACCCCGCCCACTTGCAAATTTATTTATTTATTTTTAAACTAGACTATTCATCTATCCTAGACATTTTTGCCCAAATAAACCAAACCCTAATCTCTCAAAACATCTATACAGCTCTCTTCCCATCTCACTCTCTCTCGTTTTTCATCTGCGCAACTCTCTTCTCATTGCATCGATCGACCTTTGCAAGATTGACTCTCTCTCTCCGTCAACTCTCAAGTAAGCGTCTCTCTGTTTGTCTGTTTGTTTCTCTCTCTCTCTCTCTTTCTTCTCTATCTCTGATTTTTTTTAGGCAATCAGATTTGTTTCTTTCTGTGCGCAGCCTCTCTTCTAAACTCACTCTCTCTCGTTCTTTCCTCTCTCTCTCTCTCTCTCTGTGGCGACTAACGAAGCGACCGATAGACCTTCGATCGACTCTCTCTCTCTGTGGCAACTCTCAGGTAAGCGTCTCTCTGTTTTTGTCTCTCTCTCTCTCTCTCCCCAATCTTTATTTATTTTTTTTTAGGCAATTAGATCTGTCTGTCTTTCTTTCTCTCTCTCTCTCTCTCTTCTCAATCTCTGAATTTTTTTTTTATGTAATCAAATCTGTAGTAGCAGATCTCTAAGTTTATTTGTTTATTTATTTTTTATGCAATCAAATCTCTAGTAAGGGAACCCATCTCCAACAGTTTTAGCTAAAAGAACTAGTTAAAAAGTACATTTTTTTTTAAAACTAGCTATTTCTTCATATAGTTCTCCCACAATGCTTTCCATTTTGTCCTTAATCCTTTATCTGAATCAAGATTCTGTTTGTGTGATTGAGATTTTGTTTCAATGGTGATTAAGATTTTGGATTAAGATTCTTTCTCTCAATGGTGATTAAGATTCTTCATAGACTTGTTTATATTATAAAAAAATTAGAAGTGGAAATTGAATCTGTTATTGAATGTTAATTGAATCTGTTTAGATTATGTTTAATTGAATCTAAAATTGAATATGTTTAGATTCTTCATAGACTTGTACAGAACATTATTTAATTTTAATTGTTTTTTTTAAATTTTTTTTTTTTGGAGTTTTCTATTATTAAATTTTATTTAGAGGGTGATGTGGTGGGTGGGTTGATCTTTGTACTTAGGGGAAATTGAATCCGTTAATTACTGAATTTATTTTTTAGATGGGAAATTGAATCTTTTAATTACTTTTTGATATTATATTTATCATTTAGCTCTTCTTTAATTTTCATTCTAATTTTTGTAGTCCAGGTTAAATGGAGGATAGTGTTGAATCTCCCACAATAAATCTTTTACCTCTGAAATTCTCTAATTTTCAAATGAATCTCTCCTTAGCCGAACCCGAACCTAAGCCTCCTAGACCCCAAAGACATTTTTCATATATTCAACACATTTTCTTATCATATTGAGATGCAATATATATAAATTTGTTTATTTTTTTCATTACTTTATTCTTTTACAGTTTTTTTGTCAAAGGAATTATGAAAATTGAAGATTAAAGTCTATATTTTTTAGTTTGTTTTTGTGCAAGGTTCATCAACCAAATGCATGGAATTGGAATTTTTGAAAGTTGGATGTAATTCATGATGGAGTTTGAGATCTTGCAAATGTTTTTATTTTATTTAATGAGTTTAAATTGAATGAAGTTTGACAACAAACTTTTTTTTTTTTTAATTGCATTTTGGATGAATGTAAAAGTTAATGAAAAATTACTTTTAGGTAAGCTTAGGATTTTGAATGATTTTACTTTAATTGTATTGTTGGGTAGTAGATAGTAAATGAGATTGATGATCTAGTTTAGGATTTTGAAAGATGTGCTTGTGTTAGTTTATGATTTGATTTAGGATTTTGAATGGTTTGTTTGTGTTAAGAATTGATTTTGTTATGTTTTCAATTTTATAAGTTTTAATTCATTAATTATTAGTGTTGGAGCATTTTAGAAAATGGGGAGAAAAGGGCCCAAAATAAATATTTATAAAATGCGAAAAAAAGGCTCAAAAATAAATTTTTAAAGAAAAAAGTCCAATCCGCAAACAGTTTGCAACCGCTCGCACATCCACGAACCCTATCTGCACAAACCACAAACCGCACTGTGTGTGGTTGCGGGTTGACTTTTTCCCAAACCTCACAGATGTGGGTGGGTCCAAACTGATCCACAAACTATCCAAATCCGAACCGCGACCACCTCTAATACAAACCTAGACACCTCTCTCTTTCTCAACCTCTCCCTCTCATTGGCTATAGTGTTGGCTATAGATAGCCAACAATTTAACAGTTAATAAAGTCTCAATTTGAAAATTTGACTGAAAGTCAAAAGTTAATTTTTAATGGGTAAATTACAAATACACTCTTTGAGGTTTGCTTAAAATACGAATTGGCCCCTGTGGTTTAGAAAATTACAAATATAGCTCTTAGAATTTTTTATTTAACAGAATTAATTCAAAAAGTAAGATTTCTAATTGTTCACCTATACAATAATAAAATTATTTGAATTATTAATTGAAATAAAATTTTAACATTATTAAAAACTGTTAATTAACTTGATGATTTATTAATAAAATGATCTATTTGTTATGAAATAAGAAACCTTAGGGGCCATGATGTAATTTCCAGAACCACAAGGGTAATTTGTAATTTAAGTAAACCTTAGGGGGTGTGTTTGTAATTTACCCATTTTTAATCTATTTTGAATCATATTATTTTTTTATACATTTTTTTAAAAATAGTAAAAATAAGAAATTAAAAAGTCAACTTTTAATCAACTTTTCAAAATAACCGAAAGTTAGCAAACACTAACACATCCCTTAATAGCTCTATTGAAGTATCATTTGGGCCTTTTGCTAGCAAAATTTTAATGACGGACACTAAGGCCTCGTTTGGGAACAGGCTAATTTAGTAACTTTTTGGCTATTTGGCTAAAAAGGTAGGTAAAAAAAACTTGTATGTTTGGGATGACTTTTTGGCTAATTACGAAAAGATGTGCAAAAAGTAGAGAGAAAAGAGAATCTTTGATTTTTTGGTATGAGTTGTTGGCTTTTTAGCTAATTTAGTAACTTTTTTACTTTTTGGCTAAAACAGAGCCTTCCCAAACGAGGCCTAAGATACCCCTCTTATCTCATTCTTAAAATAATAATACTATATACATTAATTGATATATTAATTAATATACCAACAGATGATGTGAGACAATTTTAGAAGTTTTGAATCTTTGTAAATTGTATAATGGATAGAGTTATAGTTTTAAAATTATAATATCATAATTCTATTGGTACACTAATTAGTATACCAATTGCTGTATGTATTCTTAAAAATTGACTCATTAGTAAATATTTAAAAATTTTAAAGTACAAATCTAAAAGAAAAAATTATTTAAAGTATTATCAAACATTATTTACATAATGTTTAGCCAGAGATCACTTATATGTGGTTAGGCCATTACTTACATAATTTTTTAAATAAATTAGATAGTTAAATGGGGATCAGTTTATTACTATGGACCTATAGTGTTAGATTCAATGGTTTTTTTTTTTTTTTGGAAATAATGACATGATTGATGAAATTATTTGATGAAAATGATAAATTATTATTTTGAAAGATTTTTTTTCCCTCTATTGTTGCTAGATCTCTATCAGATCACTGCCAGCTAGAAGAATCAATGGAAAATGACAGGAAAGTCACCTGAAAAATGGTTGAAAAAGTTGTTGACGGCAGCAATGGGTGGTGATGATTTTGATATGAACAAATAAACAGATTAAATGGACAGATAAGTGACACATAAATAAATAGATAATGACACGTGAACAAATAAGTAAACAAATAGATGATATATGAATAGATAGATGATGTGGACATAAGACAAATAAATAGATATATTATAATCTTTCAAATTGTTTCACTACAAAAAAAAAGTGTTTTTTGCGACGGCAAAACACCGTCGAAAATGGTCCATACGCCGTCTCTAATACTTTTTGCGACGGTAATTTGGCTTTTTGCGATGGCAAGTGGGGGTCGCGACAAAGGGGGTTACAAAAGGGCTTTAGCGACAGTAAGTGCCGTCGCCATTGTTTTTTGCGACGAGAAACTGCCTTTTTTGCGACGGCAATGTTCTGTCGCCAATAATGGAAGAAAATCTAAGTTTCTGAGACGGTACAGTATTTCCGTCGCTAAAATGGGTTTTTTGAGACGGCCAGAATGCCGTCGCTAAAAGTGTCGTACCTGATAACTATTGCCGACGGCAACCTGAGCCGTCGCTAAAGGTTTTCTAAAAGTGTTCTCGAAAATGACTATTTCCGACGGCAAACCTAGCCGTCGCTAAAGCCCTAATTTTCAATTTAATTCCTACCTTTTGCGATAGTATTGGTGCCGTCGCAAAAAGCTTGCTACCATTTTCTTTTTGCGACGGGGTGCTCTGCCGTCTCCAAAAAAAATTAAAAAAAAAAAACCCTGTATTTTATTTATTAAAAATATAAAAATAACTTGTATTAATTGAAAAATAACTAAAAAAAAATCCAAAAATTACATAATAATATAAATACATACATACACAAAAGTTGGCACATAATGAATATTCATAATGTTGTTCCATTCATAACAATACATAAATAAAAATTCATAACAATAAAAATTATGCCACTACATAATGTCGCATAATACATACATAATGTTGTTCAAAAATTTAAATAACATAAATCAAAATCAAAATCAAAACCAAAAATTTTCGTCTTGATTCTTTCGTGGGTTACAAAAACAAAAGTTGGTCATAATCTTTATACGCCTGCATTCCACAAGAAGCAAACTGCTACCCAGGAAATATCTGAAAAAAACAAGATAAAAATAATTAATAACCATATAATGGTGTTAATATTTTAATTACAAAAAAATATAAAAAAAATTGACTACTATATAATTAGAAAGATAGTTTAGTAAATAATTTTGACTAGACCGAAATCCGACTCTAACTCCGAAACCGAGAACCCGATTCGAGCCCCGTCTTCTCCCACAAGTCAATCGTGCCTAGGCGGTCGTGTGTGCCAAATTTCGTGCTAAACCGACATCGTTTGGTGATTTTGGGGCATTAACGCCTCAAATTCAAGTTTCTTAAGGAAGTAGTTTGTCTAAAGTGAAATCCGGCTCTAACTCCCAAACCGGGAACCCGATTCGAGCCCCGTCTTCTCCCACAAGTCTCTCGTGCCTAGGAGGTCATGTGTGCCAAGTTTCATGCTAAACTGGCGCGGTTTGGTGATTTTGGGGCCTTAACTCCTCGAATTCAAGTTTCTTAAGGAACTAATTTGCCTAAAGTGAAATCCGACTCTAACTCCCAAACCGGGAACTCGATTCGAGCAACGTCTTCTCCCACAAGTCTCTCGTGCCTAGGCGGTCGTGTGTGCCAAGTTTCACGCTAAACTGACGCTATTTGGTGATTTTGGGGCGTTAACACCTCGAATTCAAGT